CTTTGGGGCTTAGAAATTGAGAGGGAGGAGGAGGAAGAGTTTCACATTCATTACTAACAACTTCACACATAATAAGCATGTTCAGATACACCCTGGGGTGTTAGTTTTCTTTTCCTATTTTTTGTCCCTTTTTTAGCAGCTTTCGATAAGTAGCACATTTTACTTTTGAAAAAAGAATCGGAGCCGTTCTTGAGCAGCCGCGCCCTAAGAAAGGTCAAGAGATTAGGGAGCGGAAGTAGGCGGGCCAGGCTCTTTGCTGACCACAGTAAGGGACTGCCACTTTCTTCTTATAATCTAATTTTGAGATTCTAATGAAAAGGCACTCCCTAAAATTGGAGAAAAAAAAACTTTGCTGAAATAAAGAGTGAAAAATTGTTAGAAAATAGCCATCAAAAAGTGACCGATTTAAATTTATGCCTTTATAAACCACATGGAAAACCTGCATTTGTAATGATATATAAACATTCTCAAAATACAGGTAGGATTTTTCAGGGGTGAGGGTACATTAATGGCTTTTGATATTAGTGAGATTTGGCCTAATTTTGCGAATATTCTGAAACTCTAAATATTGCATTGCACAAATCAGAGAACAGTGTACTAAAATTTAACCGTTCCAACTCCCTCACTTTACAAGTGGGAAAAGTGGAGCCTAATGATAAAAGGTAACATGCCCACGGTCACACAGCCGGTGAGAGGCGGCTTGAAGGCTCAAGCTCAACCTCCCCATTCCCAAACCCACGTTCTCTCCACTGAGTTGAACAACTCCAATGGGAAACTGCAAACTCTCACATCTAACGGGACACTCTGCACCCATGTGCCCTGCAAATGCTCCTGCATGTTGCTAGAGGCAGTTCCTCTGTCATAGCCTGGATGACTTCTTTACCTGGTACTTAACGGCTTCTTAAAAGCAGTCTAGGCATGTTCATATGGCTCCAAGGACTCAGGCCCTGCTCTCTTCTCTGTCTTAAAAAAGTTCATAGACCTTTTACCTATGCATGCCCAAATTATCCCTAGGTGTATGTACTGGAATCAATTAACGTCCTCATCATCCTCTACCATGTAGGTTAAAACTTTGAAAGTCACCTCCAGTTTCTCGCTCTCTCTCTCATCCTCCCAACTCCCACTTGTACTATTGACAAGTCCTATAAGTGCCACCTCCAAAGTTTGTCTCTCTTTCATCTTCTAGTTTACATTTCTATAGGCCAGCACACCTTTGGTGCCTTCCTGCCATCAGGTTCTCACCACTTCAGTTCATCATCCACAATGGCCACACCAGAGGGATCTTAGTCAACTGCTCTGGCATTCCCATGCTCAAACCACAGTCACCGATAGTGTGGCTTCAAACTCTTTAACATAGCACTCAAGCTCTCCCCAGTTTAACTAGTGCCTACTTTTTAAGGCAAGTGCCATTACCTCTTCCCTTCACCATTCACTCCAGCCCACTGGACTACTTGTCACTCCCCAGTAACTCAGGAAACCTGTGCCTTGACTTTGGGCCTTGACTCCAATCTTGTCTCTTCCTTTCAACCTGCAGAGCTCTTCATTGCTCCAGTTCTGGTTCAAATGCAACCTTCTCTGTGAATCTTCCCAAAGCATTCCAGAAAGAAGTCGTAATTCTTTTATGTTTCCTTAGAACATTCCTCATACTTTTTTTATGGCACTTAGGGGTGCCTTGTTTGTAATCAGTTGCATCTCTCTCACTAAATGTATCACTTTTATCTTTGAAAAGATGCCCCATTCGCCCCTCCCAACCACATTGCTTCATTCAATCTGTTGCATATAATAAATGTTTTTCTTTCTTAACATTTATTGATCACTTACTATCTGCAGGACATGAGGCCAGGAAGTGTAAGGGCTGAGGGAGAAAGATACAAAATAAAACGCAATCTCTGTCTTCAAAGGAGCTTTTAATTGAATCAGTGAGACACGTTCCCAAATAACCTAAGCAAGAAAAATAACTGTGGGGGTGGAATTGGGTGGAGGGGAAGTTCTGAGTATGGAACAAATATTCTCAGTGTTCCAAATGAGAACACCGGTGTTATGACAGAGAGGGTGGAGTGATGGGGGAGGAGTGGAGGAAAAAAATGGGCGAAGCTGCATTTAGATCCCATCTCTGTGCTATAGTCATTATTAGAGTGTTCTCTAAGTCTGGCTAATCTAACCCATTCTTCCCTCAAAACCAGAGTAATCTTCCTAAAACAAGACTTCTCGATCATTTAACTCCCTGTTCAGATGTTTGTTGTTCAATGACTCAAACATCAGATAATTGCAGGCTTATGCTAAGAGTTATGGGGAGTACCAGTTTGTAGAGATGAAACTCCAAGAAACAGCTAGAAAACAAAAAACAAGAACATGTTGTAAAAGTGCTAGGGAGTGGGGGACAACATAGGAGTGGGATCAGTATGGGTTGAGATTAAACGAGAAGGATTAATTGGAGGAGGCAAGACTTCAGTGGATGGCCACTTGGCAAGGAAAATTAGATGTGCCAAGAGAACTTTAGGGTTCCTTTCAATTCCAAGACCTTCCCCCATTATTCTTCGAGGTGGTTTATTCATTCATTCAATAAGTACACGCTAAGCACTCCCACAAAAACACCAATGTTTATTAACTGCCTTCTATGTGCCAGGAACTCTGCTAGACACTGGAAATACAGCAGTAAATAAGAGACTTTGCCCTGAAACTATTACATAGAATGAGGATGATGAGGTCCCAACTCTCCGAACACAGAGCATGGAATTTAACAGCTGAGGGGATAGAAAACTATCTCTAAGAGGTGATGTTTAAGCCAAGGCTCCAAAGCTGTACAAGAATTAGCCAAAGGGCACTGAGCATCCAGGCAGAACATTATATGTGAAAGTCTGGTGTTAAGAAAAAAAGATGTCATGTCTAAGGAACTGAAAGATATTCCAAAAGGCTATAGCATGGAGTAGAAATTAGGCTAGAGAGAGGTAGGCAAGGGCAGAATATGGAGAATTTTGCTAAGTCATGTCAAGGAGTTTATACTTCATCAATAGGCTTTGAGTAACATTAAAGTATGTTACATGGTGTACCTAACCTATTAGGTACTTAATAATGTCTCTTTAAGAATGGATTAATGAATAAATGGATGAATGAGTGAATCTCCTATGCAATGATCATAGGCTTTTTGACTCAGACTTGAGCATTTGCTCCAGAAACTGGTGCTACTCTGACCAGAGGCATGGTCTCTGTAGGTCTGCAAAGCAGATTGAACTCATGACCCCTATGAGGTCACCCCCGACTGTAGTAGAGTTACTCAGTCACCTGGCTTACCCTAGCAAATGGAATTTAAGTAAATCTGCATTAAAGTCAGAGTTTTTCTAGACAGAAGGGTAAAGTTTTACCTGGCAATCATTTTGGCTTAAGCAGTGCAAGGGAAGCCTGACTCTTTCTTAATCCTTGATGAAAAAAAAAAAAAAAATAGCCTTCTGAACCTCAAGGGCAAAAGTAGTCCCAAGTTAGATTTTTCATAGCAATGCTTCCATGGACAAATACATCCAAGGAGAGAAAAGGAGAATAAATGTTCCACAGAGGGATTTTACCTTTTTCATAAGAAAAGAAAAACAATTGTGAAAGGCTGCACGGAGCGCGTCCCTCGGACACTCAGGTTTTATGAGTCACCGGGTCTTGCCTCAGCTCCCAGCTCTGGAACGGCCGCCTGTCAGGGGTGAGCGAGCTGCCAGGGGGGGATGACATCTCCAGAGAGAGGGAGAGTTTCAGGAATGCAAGATGCCATGCTCAGGATCCTAAGTATTGTAATTGCCAGGCCAAAGATTAACACTCCACCCTCTTGGTTATGACCAGGAAACTTTCTCCTGATTTGCTACAGAGTCTCATCCGAAATTGGGGAGTTGATTTGGCTCCAGGTTTAAATAACAGACCAGAGTCAGTGCTAACATTGGGGTCCAGAATTATTTCTGAAGTCATCACCGCAGTGATGAAGCATTCATTTGGCAGAGAGAGAATCTGAATAGAGCTTTAGAAAGATTCTTAATGCTGTTGCTAGAGCCATCTGTGTGTGTGTGCGTGTGTGCGTGCATGCCTGTGGGTGTGTGAGTGTGGTATTCATACGTGCTCTCAATCAACAAGTCCTCCCTAACATAATAAGCAGCCTGTGAAGGTCATTTGCCACTTTATTTCAGAGAGAAATATGAAAAATGCCTACATACGCGGCTTTCTAGGAAATCCATTTTGCGCATTTCACCAGTCACGTAAAGCCTGATGCTGCAAAAGGAGCCGAGCACACCCACAGGTGGCTGGCACAGAAGCAGCACTGGAATCTTCCTCCTGAGACTAAGCCTCTGGGTGTCCTGAGTCCCAAGTCTGGGAACTATTTTCTCATAACCTGCTCAGACAAAAACCTGAACACAGGTTGAGTAGCCCTGCCTGGATTTAGAGCTTTCCTAAGAAGCCCCCTTGCTCCTGCTGGGAACTTGGAAGGGACTGTGCAGGTGCCCTGCGGTGAGGGGATGTGGCTGCCACCTGTGTGCTTCTGTGGGAGTAACGGGGTGTCTGGCCCCAGAAGAGCTGAAGATCATTTGTAGTCACAGATTGCCGGATGGGCGCTTGGATGCCAGACAGTATTTCTTTCCCTGCCGTTGACGTGGTGCAAAGCGAACTGGCTGACCCGCTGCCCCTTTGCTCACCCCTGAGTGACAGTCAGTCGGTTCCGATTCAGGCTTGTTTGCCGTGAAGCTTGTTGTCCCTGCAGACCGTTCCGAATGGTCCTCACAGACACAATAGGCTAAACACACACTGAAGTCATGGTATCCTTTTACTGCACGCACCCGAGCTGGGGAAATCAAGCCTTCCCCAGGCTGCAGTCTCGAGAATACACCTAGACTCTGAGCCAAGCTGTTTACCTCTCCCCTTCTCTCCCTGTGCATCATTTGCTCTTTTATTTTGCATTAAGAGTCGCTTAGTGATCATGGACTTCGGCTCTTGCCTGTAGTGATCCTGTTCGCATTTTATTCCTTACACAGAATAGGAAGGAGGTTCGCTTGCTTTGCGCAGAGGCTGAGCCACAGGAGAAAGCAAAGCCAATGTGATTTATTGAATGAAAGCGCTGGACAGTCACCAACAACTTGTTCCTCTGCTGCCTCGAACAGCCTAAACTGGTAAGTCAAATTTATTGTCTTTCTTCATCTGACTATAGGGCTTTCTTAGTCACTGATTATTTTTAAAATGTGTATGTGTTGCTGTGCTTTAGATGATATAAAAAAAAATCTGCATCTTCCAAAGTTAGCTGCAGGCGGTCCCTGAAGAACGCACACATGCATACACACAGTGGTCTGCAGTAGCACATACACATCCATGTGAAGAGACAGAGTGGGGGTGGGGAAGCCCCATTTCTAATAACTGGGCATGTTGTTTGCAACAAGCTTACTCACATTAAGTGCTTGCATAACTGATTAGCATTAGCTATGAAAAATAAATTACTGTTTTGTCATGTAAAATGATTTTCCAGTCAAGTTCCTGAGTACCTATAAGATACCTGTTGGATCAGGTAAAGATGTGTTCCATCATGCTGATAATCTTGACTACAAACCCAGATATTGCTGTCTTTAACCCAGTTTTCAGGCTGAGCAAGCAGAGTGGAATGCCAGCATTCCATCCATCCTCGGTGAGCGTGCCCATAAATAACCTTATCACAGTGATGCTGAGGATATCTGCCAAGGGAATACAATGGACGTGCATTCAAGCCCTCGCTTGATCCACTACCACTGTTGTATCTATGTTCCTTAAGTCTTTTCTTTATTCCATTAAGATATATAGTTGGAAGGGTGCACTGGGTTCACACTGGGGTATTGCAAGTGTCCTGTTATGCATGCTGATCGTTGGCCCGGTCAAGGCCACAGGGAGGTCTGCTGATAATCAAGGCTGAGTTTGCTTCTGTGCTGGGCTCCCAAAATCCCCATGCTCACTTCATTTCTTCATTACCTAAATAAGATGTAAGCCAACCTCTGAAGAGGGGGAAAGTGAATGTACAAAGATACTGCTTTTCCTACCCCACCCCCACCAGTCTCCTTAGCCTTTTGTCTGCCTGGCTACCCCAAAGCTTTATGGCAGCATCAATCCATCTCTGGTGAGCTCAGAGTCCATATAAATGTCATATAGAGTTTAATGTCTTTGGTGCACTCTATCTGCAGTATATCACTGGCCATTCAGACGAAGTTGTGGCCTTGGGTGCTGACAAAGATGGATGATGTTAGAACAGTGAGCAGCATGCTTCTCTAAATAAAAACCAAAGTTAGGAAATCTGAGATATGGGTGAAGTTTGCCTAGTAGAAAGGATTCCCTAGGCCACTCAATCACAGGAGCCAGGGTCATTCTCCCATGTGATTTGCCTACTTCACAAATGATGGCATTCTAACAGGAAGGAGCCAGAACTGCCTACTGGAGAGAGGACTGGTGAGATGTCAGGATATTAGGGCACTTTGGCTGGTCCCCAGACTAAGTGTGTCATTGAGAAATTCCCTTAGCCTCTCTGGATCTCCATTCCTACATTCCTTCCACTTATGATTGTTTTGAAGGAGACATGCTAAGCTCAATGGATGTTTCGATGCGATACTACCTTAAGCTCTTTTGTTAAAGGGTACACTAGGTAATCAAGATCATTGTTCATGCACTTTAATCCAGAGACCATTCATCAGAAACCCAGAGGAGAGTTCTTGTGGGGATGACAGGATGCATGTCCCTTCCTTCCCTGTAAGGGACACAGCCCATTCTGAAAGAAGCATGATGACACTTAGGGAATTAGAAGAGGAAAACAGAGCTGAAAAGTGGCATTGAAAAAGCTCACATTCAAATAAATATATCATGTAAATAACCAGGATTTTTTTTCAAAATTGATCATCAATAACTGATTTTCTATACTTATGATCACAAGATCCTGAAGATCATAAGTGTTTTAAAACAAACTTGCAAGTATTTGGGAGCAGGGAGATAGTTCAGGCATGGGTAGAATCCTTGCATAGAAATGGCAACTTTCAGTTGCTCAAATTACCCCATAACCATGCTCATAAAATTAGCAGCTGCAGATGTACTACAATTGGAGGAGTTCTAGAAGGCTCATTTGCCCCTCAAAATTGCCCCACCTCTAGGATTACAGTACCTCAAATTCTTTCAACGGGGATTCAGTTAAGTACTGCTTTTATAAAATACATTTTTAGGAGAAATAATAAACTAAGCCACTGATACCTTATCATAAATGAATGTATTAAATTTTTTCTACCTCAAGGGCAACCCAAAGGATATTGAATTATTATATTTATTCTGCTTCCTGTTTACTTCATACCTGTAACCAAGAACTTCCCTTATAATTTTTATTTCATTCAATCAGAAAACTAAGTATCCTTCTGGGCAGATTATTTCTTTCTTTTTATGGAATACCTGGATTAGACAATATCCTATAGGCCCTTGAGAGTCACACTGGGGAAAGCTGGAGCCACTATCTTTTCCTGTTCTAAACCCACTTTTCCTCCTTTATTCCTTATTCAAAAAATTATTGATGGAACTACCATGCACCCAGTCAGCCAACAAAGCTTGCAGAATTTATTCTCAGGTTTCCTGGTCCCTTTAGCTGCTCCATCCAGTCACTAACGAAGTGTAGTTCATTTTACTTCCTTCATAGTTTGAATCTGTCCAGCTCTCTTCATCCTCGTTGCCTCAAGCTACAGTTGAAGTCACCACCTCTCATGGAGTTATTTCAAGAGCTTCATACTTGGATAGCACCTGCCACTGTTCCCTCAGCCCTGCTCCTTTCCAACAATTCTCTGGCTGCTACCAGAATAATTCTCTAAAAATACAAATTTCAAGTTTTACTTAAAGGTCCTTAGTGTTCTCCTGTCATGCACAGGTTAAAATCTATGCTCCTTATCATGGTGTGCAAGGTCCTGGTCATGATGTTCTGGCCCTACTACCTCTCCAGGCTTCTTTCAGGAGGTCTTGGCATGGATGAAATGTACCACTGTCAGTATCAGTGCCCAGGAGATTTTATCAGGGACCCCAGTGAATTGACCTAGCAGCAATACCATGAGGTTTCCCATCTTCGTGTCCTAATCAGGAAGGCCTCAACTGCCCTTTTCTTTCCTTCCTGCTAGTTAATTCCTCATTCCTCATTCAAAATCTGTGTCAAACATCACCTTTTCTAACCCATTTCCCCACCACCTTTTCTCCAATGACCACCTCCTATTACCCACAAGGTTAATCACTCACCCTTCAGTGCTATTTCTATGTCTTATGCCTTTTGAGAGAAATGTTTAGAGGTTGAGATCTCATATTTAGACTCTCATTGCCTGGGTTTGAATTCCAGATTTACTACCCTTTAGTAGTGCCTCACTACTAAATATAGAGATATTTATCTATATAAAATGGAGACAATAATAGTCCTTCCTTCACAGGGCCATTATAAGATTGTATAAGTTGATACATGTAAAGGTATTATAATTGATTACATGCTTATGTTTCCCCAAAATTCATATGTTCAAATCCTAACCTCCAAGGCAATTGTATTGGGAGGTGAGGACTTCAGGGGGTGATTTGGTCATGAGGGCTCTGCCCTCATGATTGAGATTAATGTCTTCATAAAAGAGACCTCAGAGAGCTAGCTTAGTCCTTTCCACTATGTGAGGACATAGCAAGATGATTCTGTCTATGAACCAGAAAATTGGCCCTCACTAGACACCCAATGTACTGGTGCCTTGATATTGAACTTCCCAGCCACCAGAACTGTGAGAAATGTATGTTGTTTATAGGCTACCCAGTTTATGGTATTTTGTTATAGCAGCCCAAACAGACTAAGACAAACATTATTCTAAATTATGCCTGAGTCACAGAAAGTGCTATAGTAGTATAAGATGGTACTGTTTTTCCATAATTTCACTATTTCATAGCTACACATTTACATAACTGTCTTCCCTTCTAGCCTATGAGCTCCTTGGGAACAGGTAGAGTAACCAACCCATTTCAATTTACTTAGGACTTTCCCCGTTTTAGCACTGAAAGTCCTGCATCTTGAGAAGCCCCTCAGTGGCAGGCAAATCAAGGTTACCCTATGGTGGCACACCATCTTATTCACCTTTTAATCTCCAGGGTCTATCGCAGGATATATAGGTTACGAGGTAGATCATTTATAAGTATTTTTTGAACTATAGAATCAATACTAATTGTCTTCCTGTCTTCTTCCTCATAAACATATGCTTTCAAATTCAAAACTAATGTTATTCTTGCCATGAAGTTACAGGTGAGTTTTCAAAACTTATCACTGAATATATTTATGTGTGTGTGTGTTTGTGCATGCACACAGGAACTAGAAAAGTTGCCTCCACCCTTTTCTACGTCATCATTGTAATTGAATTGGCCACTCTTTAGCAATAAAAGGCACACCTGTCATGTTAAGAGCTTGCAAGGAAAAGAATGGTCAAACTTCTTTTCTGTGTAATGACAGGCAGGTTGAAGCCTGAAGGTCCCCTAGTTCACATCACAGCCTGAAGAGCAATCTTGTCCCAGTCAGAAATATTCCCTTCACTGAATATATCTTTCTACCCAGCTGTCAAGAATGGCTAGAGGTCCTATTTTTAATATGCTATGCCTTACAACTGCTCCTTATCCAAATGGGCTCAGATTTTTTTTCACAGTGCAAATATACTGAGAAAGTCCTACAACCAAGCTTCAATGAAATATGAACTCTGGAAGTGACAGAATTCATAGCAAGGGCAAGAAGTCTTATCGTCAGAATCAAGATCTAGGAAGAAAAAGCTGACAGGCAGCCAGACCAAGCTCCCTCTAAAGTATTAATAGCAGAGTTGTGAAGAGCATCGGCTTTAGGGTCAGAGTTCAAACCCTGCCGCTCCATTTATTGCCTGTAAGATCTTGGACAAGTTACCTAACCTCTCTGGGCCTCTCTAAATGAGAGTATAATAATAGTACCTATTTCTTCAGTGGGTTATTATTACATTTTGTTTTAGCCTGTGAAAACAAAGCTTATGGTAAAGCCAATTGCAAATGTTCTATTGTGTATTAGGAGATATAACCTCAGGGCATAAGGAGTGAAGGAGGAAAAAGGGAAAGAGTCAAGGAAGGGGAGAAAACAAAGGCAGTCTTAACTGAAATAGCA